GAAGTCGGCCCCGGGACCCCGGGATCCAAAGCTGAGAATCCGACCGCCGACGGCCCAGAGGAGGCCGACGCCATCTTGGCAGCCCCCTCCCCCTCAGCGGCCGCTGTCCCTTCGGTCGGGCTCTTCCTCTTCTCGGAATCACTCCTTCCCCACGTCTCCTCACAGAGCCCGCGTTCTGCGGGCCACCTTTCCGCCCCCCCCTGGGGCCTCCCTCAGACTCGTCGGGCTGGCTCCGGGACGGCGCAGGGCCGCACCATTCGCCTGGCATGGGGGTACACGAGTCCCGCCTCGCACCCCCTTCGCAACTTTGACCGCTCTCCGCAGGTGATACTTTCCCGTTTCACAAGGGAGCAGTCTCGAGTTGGCGGCCGGGACTGTGCGTGCGGCCCAAACCACACCTAAAGGAAAACCCGGGCAAGAACTGTCCCGGAGAAGCCGCCCCCTCCCCCTCCTCCTTAGCCACAGCCTGTTTAACGCTCAACCCCTCCGCTCCTCTGGTAGGCCAAGGAAAGCCCGGCACTGCGCATGCGTCCGACCTTCTCAGGGGTCCATCCTCTCTTGGGAAGGGAAGAGAAACCAAGCCAATCAGGAGGCTACTGACGGTCACGTGAGGCAGCTGACAACGCTCTGGGAAGCCATCGAAGAAAGATACACGCGCTGCGATCCGCGGGCCACCCCTACGGAGGCTCGGTAGGGAAAAGTTGGGGTGTGTGTGTGCGCTGGAGTTCGGTCTGGTTAAGAGCGCCGGGGCTGGTCTTCTCAAATTCACAGTCCAGGAAAGAACTCCGACAGAAGTCAGAGACTTTAAACAGTCGAATACTATAAAAATCACATGTTACCAAAAATTCTTCCTAGCCCCTTTCCGGCTTTACTACCTTGTTTACCTTTTAACGTGTATGCAAGTCTTATCTTCCTCCGAATGACATTAAAAATAGATCTGTGTCAAACACTATGCTAGGCATAGTTGATTTGGGTTTTTGTTTTTGTTTTTCATACTCGGGATTGAACCCAAAGCCTTCTCACTGAGCTACTTCCCCAGCCCGTTTTTTTATTTTAATTGTGAGATAGGGTCCCCCTAAATTACTCCAGACGAGCTCGAACTCGCGATCCTCTGCCTCAGCCTCCCAGAATGTTGTATTTCAGGTGTGTGCCACCACGCCCCGCATTGGTAAATATTTGATAAATGAATCAATGAAGACCTGTCAAAAGGACCACAAGTGGTGCATGGTGGCCTACGCCTGTAAATCCAACTTGGGAGGCAGAGGCAGGAATGAATGTCTCATGTTCGAAGCCAGTCTGGACAGCTTAGTGAGACCCTGTCTCAAAATAAAGACAAAGGGCTGAGATGTAGCTCACTGATAGACCTAGGCTCTATTCCCAGTACCGAAAGAATGAGAGAAAAAGGACCTCGGAAGGCAACCAACCGTATATTACAATCTCACCACGATCCAAAATCCTTAGCCAACTATCAATTACCTGTGCATCAAAGGGCATGGAGCTGCACAGAGAAATTCTTCCCATTCTAATCTAATTATCTCTGCTCAGTTTTAACAGAATCTTGGATTGTGAACCACGGTAGGGATATGAAGACCTATCTTGAACAAACTAAGCTTCCGTAGAGCAAGGACTTTGGTTCACTCGTATCTTTCTCTCTTCACTGTACAGAGTAGATGCTGAACAATCATTTGTGCAACGAATAAAAGAAGGACAACTGGGGGAAATTCTCGGGTTTGTAGCCCCCGAGGTGGCCTCGTTTCCCTCTGTACAAATGTCTCCCTGGCCCTTCAAAGGGAACCTAAGACTTGAAAGTTTATAGAACATCACCTTATTTACTGCTTTATACCCCAATCGCCTCAAGGTCTAAGATAATTGTTTCCTTGCTGCCCCCTGCTGGATTATTTGGCCTCCCCTGGGTGCTAAGGTAGAGGAACTTTTCCACCGATTAGGGTTCCCATTTGTAATTCCCGAACAGTGGAACAGTAGTGTTGAAGTGCTTCGTGATTCCCTGTACCTGTAACCCTCATCTAACTAAATAGTACAGGAACTAGACAAATTGGGTCAAGGATTTGGTTCCTATGTTTCCAATAAATAAATGTCTGTTGAATAAATTATCCTTGTTTCCAGAAAAAGCATGCAGTTGCTACCATCTCCTGAGTTACTGTAAAAATCAGCTAGTGTAGGGCCGGGGATTTAGCTCAGTGGTGTTGCCACCTGCCTTCTAAGAGCAAGGTCCTGAATTCGATCCCCAGTACCAAAAATAAATAAATAAATAAACAGCTAGTGTCCAGAGAAAGCTGTTTCTAATTTCAAAATTGGAAATAGTCTAATAAATCTCAGAATGACCAAAGCAATTAAGTAGGGGACTCTTCTCCCTGGGAGCTTATCTGCGAATTTGATTTCATCCTTCTTGAAAGAGAAATCCCTGTTCTGTAGCTTCTTCGGGGTCTTTGCTTCTACCTTGTATACCAGAATGATGACTGCTGCTATTACACCTACCACCTTGTATTATGTGAGGTTGTTTACCGGTTTGCCTTGTAAGACAAAGCTCTTCAGGGCAAAAACGACATCTTCTCTTTTTAGACCTCAAGCATCTAGAATAGTACCTGGCGAAGAGTAGATTCCAATTCCTGGCTCCTAAATGTGTCTCCTAAATATATGAACAGACGAAGGCAAAATTCAAAAAGTGGAGTTAGAGATGTTTAAGAAGCAGGTATCTCCCATCTTTACCCCTACATCTTTTTTCTGCTCCCACTCCTACTCAGTCCCTGGAGTGCCCTCTGAGTCATACAGCCGCTCTTCCCTAGTAACATTCCTGGCATAGCAGAAGCAGGGTGACGTGGCAGGGTGTGGAAGCAGAAGCAGGGCAGGACATGTTGGCTTGGTGTCCCCAAGGAAATGGAGAAGGGAGTTCACGGATACATACTTTGGGAAGGAAGGCAATCTGGTGACCTCAAAACAGGGCCAGATATTCAGACTTGAGTACATGCACACGGCTTTATTAAAGCATCTTTTGGGGACCTATAGCCAGTGGTAATGGGAAAAAAGTATTCTTCAAGTCTTAGAATAGTTTCTAATGTCAGAACAAAGGGGCTAGGGACTGGCAAGAGCAACATAGGGATTAAATAAGAAGATGGGTTTTCTAGTCTTTCAGTTATTCATTAATTTATTCAGGGCTGGGGATTTAGCTCAGTGGTGCTGCCACCTGCCTCAAAAGCGCAAGGTCCACAGTAAGATCCTTGGTACAAAAAAAAATAAAAAAAAAAAAAAAAAAAAAAAAAAAAAATCACTCAATTAGTATTATTTAGCCCTAACTACATCTCAAGGCACTATGAGAGTTCCTATTATACACAAATGAAGATAAAGCCCCTGCCCTCAAAAATACCACAGACTGCCGGGCATAGAGGCGCATGCCTGTAATCCCAGCACTCGGGAGGCTGAGGCAGGAGGATCGCTGTGAGTTCGAGACCAGCATAGGCTACACAGTGAGTTCCAGAACAGTCTCAACTACATAGTGAGACCCTGTCTCCAAAAAAAAAAAAAAGGGAACAGAGTCTTGACAATACCATAGACTATTTTAAATTGAAACTATTCCAGTGAATCTGGGAGTTATGAGTCCCATAATTACAGAAACTCCTGAAAAGAGAAGAGTAATAGTTTGTAGGAAATCTTTGGTGGTCTATAAAATTAGGATTTTTCCAGACAGAAAGTAAAGTTCTAAGGAGGAAAAACCTAGAGGCATGACAGAGAATAGACTGACAGGGAAATGATGCTGAAATAGGGTGTGTCAGGAGGTGAAACTAGAGAGGCTGGGAGAGGCTAAGTTATGAAGGATCTTGAATGTCAATAGTTGTTATGTACTAAATGCTTACTACAAGCTAACTAAACATTGTACTAAGCAGTATACAAGGATTTTTGTTTTGTTTTGTTTTGATACAGGGTCTGACTATATAGTTGAGACTGACCTGGAACTCACTATGTAGCCCAGGCTGGTCTCGAACTCACACTGATCCTCCTGCCTCAGCCTCCCGAGTGCAGGGATTATAGGCGTGTACCACCACACCCGGCTATAAGGATATTTCTTAATATTCTCAAAATCTGGCGCCTGACTCGAAAGTGCAAGGACCCGAGTTCATTCCCAGTTCCGAAAAAAAAGAAAGCTCAACAACCTTTAAAGGTTAGATATTATCAATATTTCTACTTAATGGGTGAAAAACTAGGATTTGGAGAAGTAAAGCTACTAGTCCAAGATCACAAAGCTAGAAGACTTTCTAGCTCAGATGCAAACAAACTGATGAGCTCTAAGGTTGCGTTCTTAACCACAGTTCTGTGCTCCCTAAGGATCCTGTAGTTGATGGGAGACATTAAGCATTTTTGAAGGTAAGAGTGACAAAGTCTGGGCTTTTAGAAAGGTTTCTACTGCTACAGTTTAAAAATGGACTGTGCTGTCTCTACACCATTCCATTTTGCAGGTCGAGGCAGGAGGATTACAAAGTGGAAGCCAGCCTGGGCAATTTATTGAGATCTTGTCTAAAAAAAAAAAAACCAAAAAAACCCAAAAACCTAAAAAGCCAGGTGGGGCTGGATAGTAGAGAGTCCTTGGGATCCATCCTCAGTATCTTGGGGGGTGGGTACCAGGGATCAAACTCCTATCCTTGCACTTGTGAGACAGGCGGCAGAACCGCTGAGCTAAATCCCCAGCACCATGCTCAGTATCTTAAACCAAAACAAAATGCACTGCATCACAAGGAGACTGACCTCTTTTCAAAATATGTTTTAGGGCCAGGGCTTTCGCTCAGTGGTTCCACCGCCTGCCCTGCAAGCGCAATGACCCGAGTTCGATCCCTGCTACAAAAAAAAAAAAAAAGTGTTTTGACTGGGAGTTGAGAGGCAGGGTTGGGACAGTTGAAGTTTCTAGTCTTTAGTCGCTTTGTGGCCAGGGAGAGCCTTTCAACTGCAGGGGAACGGGAGTGCCTTCCCACCCGCGTGGGCCTTGTTTTACATGTGCAAATAAACTTCTCTTTTGGAAATAAATAAATTAATAAAAAACAAAAATATGTGTTTAGGGCCGGAGATTTAGCTCAGAGGTTCCACAGCCTGCCTCGCAAGATCAAGGACCCGAGTTCGATCCCCGGTACCCCCCAAAAATGTGTTTAGGGAGCAGGGGACTTAGTTCAGCGGCATGGGCACCTTCTTGGTAAACGTGAGATCCTGAGTTCAAATCCCAGTACCAAATAATAATAACACGCAAATAAAAATATGTGTTGACTACTAAATTCTAGACTTATGACAGCAGGGGGTCCTGATGTCACCGAGGGGGACTCACTGAGCGCGCCAGATTGGACCGTGCCCCGGGAAGTGGAAACTGCTGCAGTGGTCTAGGCCGAAAAGCAAACCCTTAGAAGGGGACTAGGAGCTCCTCGATGCTCCGCTGCTTCTGCCTGCAAACGCCGGACTTCCGCCGTCGGCGGCCACTCGCAGGTCGTGGTGTCGAGCGCCGAGTTCTGCGAACCAAACTGAGTGAGGGACGGCTGGGGCGGCGCAGTCTCGTGGGCGACATGAGTTTGGCTGGGGGCCGGGCCCCTCGGAAGACCGCTGGGAACCGGCTTTCTGGGCTCCTGGAGGCAGAAGAGGAAGATGAGTTCTACCAGACGACTTATGGGGGTTTCACTGAGGCAAGAGTCGGGCGCGGGAGGAGGGAGGGAGGCGGCGTCGAGCGGCGGCCGGCCCGGGAGAAAGCTGGGACAAAGGGGCCGGAGCGCAGGGGCGCTGGATTACAGGCACCACTGCGCGTTTTCTTAGATAAGCCCTCTGTCACTGTTCCAAAGAAGTCCCCGTGTGTTTCCTTTATAGGAATACGTTTCAGCTTATAAATAGATTTAGCTTGCTTGTTTTGACTCTCCCATTGGACGCTAAGCTCTATAGAGTTCATTATTTTAGGTTGAGTGCCTGACCTAGTGTCTGCACTGGGCTGGCATTTGCTAAAATGGGCGGCGGGGGGTGGGGGGCGGTAATGCTTGTTTGAATGTTTGTTGTTGTTTTGAGACAGGGTCTCACTATGTAGTTCTGGTTGGCCTTGAACTCACTGTGTAGGCCAGACTGACCTGGAACTCGGAAGTCCACCATGCCTGGCTCTTGCTAAATTTTTGATTGGTACCTTCAGCACCGGGAGTGTGCCACTTGTGCAGCAGCTCAATGGCAGAGCACTTGCCAGCCATACCTGAGACTCTGGGCTCTGTCCCCAGGACTGCTAAACAACAACCAGACAAACATGCTGGGTGTGGTGGTGCGTACCTGTAATCCCAGCACTTGGGAGACTGAGGCAGGCAGCTCACTGCTAGGTTGGTACCAGGGATTGAACTCAGGTCCTTGCACCTGCGAGGCAGGCAAAGGAACAGCTGAGCTCAAATCCCGGCCCCTATCACTACTAGTTTGAAGCCAGCCTTGGGGTACACAATGAATTCAAAGCCAGCCTGAGCTACATAATGAGACCCTGCTCCCCCCGCAAAAAAAATGAACAAGACAAACAAAACAAACATGGCTTCTTACACATTCCAGGCCCCAGTAGAGGAACTGGCAGGGCTCCTAGTCAATTAAAATGTTGTGTGATAAGGACTAAAAAAACAGGTATACTCCCATCAACACATGAATGGATTAAAAAAGTGGGAGTTACCCATAATGGAGTACTGCTCTGACATAAAGGAGGATAAACGAGTCATTTGTAGAAAATGAATTCACCTGGAGACCATAATGTTGCGTGAAATAAACTAGAAACAACTTTAAATGTGGTTTCTCCTACATAGAAACCCAAAGATACATAAAGAGCAAAATTAAAAAAAATTTTTTTTTTTGGTACTGGAGATTGAATTTAGGGCCTTGTGCTTGTGAGGCAGGTGTCAGCACCCCTGAGCTAAATCCCCTGCCCGACAAAATAAAAAGTTTTGTAGAGGCGTTCTTGGTTTATTAATCAGAACATTGTGGTTTTTCTGTATTTTGTGATGTTTATCGTATTTGACAGCTTTTTTTTTTTCTTGGTTTTTTGAGACCGGGTCTCACTAGTTGAAACTGACCTGCAACTCACTATGTAGCCCCAGCTGGTCTCGAACTCACAGTGATCCTCCTGCCTCAGCCTCCCAAGTGCTGGGATTACGGGAGTGCACCACCATGTCCGGCTTGTCAGCTTTTTAAAAGTAGACAAGCTTTACACTTTACTAACTAGGATTCCCTCTCTGTTCATAATAGTGTCACATTTTGGTTTTTTTGTTAAGTAAACTTTTGGATGTGAAAAAATTTTTAAAAATTTTTAAATAAATAAAACAATAGGTAACACGTGGGATATGGTAATACATGGGAACCAGGCTTGTTGGTGGACACAGGCATCCTGAGAGGCGTGGTGTCTAAACAGAGCTGTATGGGGCCTGGGATTTAGCTCAGTGGTTCTGCGCCTGCCTTGCAAGCACAAGGACCTGAGTTTGATCCCCAGTACCAAAAAACAAACAAACAAACCAGAGCCATATGAAAAGTAGGCCTTGGCTGGATGAATAGTAGGAGGAGGAAAGGTTAGTCCAGGGAGAAAAGTGATATTGAGTGTTTAAATACTAAGGTCCCATTTGCGGACCTGCAAGTTTACTCCCATTCTCCAGAAAAATGAAGATTGGAAAGGCTGGAGGAAGTATTCCTAGGCTAGATTATGTGGGGTCTTGTGAACCATGTTAAGGAGTTTTGCTGCCTTTCCAGAGGACTGAGAACAGTCAACAAAAGTCCCATGTTCAAGGGCTAGAGGTGTAGCTCAGTGGTAGAAAACTTTCCAGATATGCACTAGACCCTAGGCTCAATCCCCAGTACTGTTAAAAAGAAATTTAATATTACGCCAGAGATTTAGCTCAGTGGTTCCGCCACCTTCTTCGCAAGCGCAAGGTCCTGAGTTTGATCTACCCCTGGTACCAGAAAGTAAAATAAATGTCCACGATCAAATTTGTACTTTAAAAAGATTACTCTGTAATGAGAATATTCTGAAAGAGACTGGAAAGTGGCCATGGAGAAACAAGGATAGGGGCTGGAAGTACACCTGGCTAGCGTGCCTGACCTGGGTTTGATCCCCAGCACTGCTAGGAAAAAAAAAGCAGTTTACAGTGATATAGGGTTTCGGAGAAATTAAGAAAGTAGAATCCGCATGACTCGGTGACTGACTTGGAGTCATGACTTACCCCTCAGTGAACTAGCATTTTTGTTGTTTATATGGGTATGTGTTTTGTTTGCCATTCTAGGAATTGAATCCAGGATCTTCACATTGAGCTGCATCCCTCCCAGCCCATTTTGTTTTTTAATCCCCCTCCTCCTATACCAGGGATCAAACTCAAGACCTTGTGCTTGTGAGGCAGGTACAGTGCCACTGAGCTAAAGCCCCAGCCCTCCATTTTATTTTTATTTTAATAAGTTGTCCAAATTGCGCTGGAACTTGAGATCTTCCTGCTTCAGCCTCCTAGAATACTGGAATTAAAGATGTGTACCACCATGCCCAGCTACCAACTAGTTTAAAAATAGAACTTTTTCATCCCTCCTCCAGGCCCATTATCCTATTCCTGTCATTTTACAAGTCGTTATTTAATATGTACCCTTCATGCTTCCAAAAAGGATTTAAGGAGGCTTACGATATAGACAAAAAATAAGAAGAGCAAAAATAGAGACAGATTAAAAGTAATTGTACCAGGAGCCTATGCTAAAATGGTAATAGCAATTAATATTTAGCTGTGAACTTTCTGGCAGCAGAACTTTGACTTTCTTTTATTTTTTATTTTTTGTAAAGAAACGTGCACAATCTTCAAGAAAGACAGAATTTATTTGCATTAAATCTTAGAATATAAAGTAACAGGTGTTGTTTTGTAGGTGATTGAAAAACATTCTCTGAATTAGTCATGTCTATTAATGATGCTTGACAAAAGCCAGGGGCATGGTAGTAAATCCATATTTTGGTGAAAGCATTTTGATTGGACACTAAGTTCATGGGAAGTGGATCCACCATCATCTGGTGGCATGGTTAATACCAGGCGAGGCTGTGGGGATTAGTGTGTTCCCAAGCTGTCTTTCACAGGCATCAGTTGGGAGGAAGTGATGGTCTTTGGTGCAAGACTGAACTCTGGCTGGCTCAGAGTGTCAGCCATCTGTGCTGCTGGCTTACTTTGGCGCCTGTGCACCAAGATTAGCCTGCATTACTGATGGACAAGGGAGCCACATGTTCGAGTGCTGCCCACCCAGCTACCTCCCTCTCCCTCAAGTGATTTTCTGCCCTTTGCCTTGACTCTTACGGCCATTCTAGCCCTACCTTGTATAACCTCAGATCTAGACTATCGTTCATGTTCTCCACTCTAGCTCCTCTAATCGCTAGGGCTTTCTGAAACACATTTGGGGTCTTGTGGTTGGCCCCAAATCTTAGTGGTTCCCCATTACCTAAGTTAGTCAAATAGTTTCCTGTCCCACCCAAAAGGGTGACACGTTTCTCTTAGTAACTTGGGTTAACCTCAGCAGTGATTATCAATGTGTACCTCACTGTGCTCAGCTCTTCTACACTATTTCATCGCCATTTAGGGTTTTATGTATTGCCTTTTTATCTAGGTGTGCTGGCACACATCTGTAATCACAGTACTCCAGAAGGCTGAGGCAGGAGGAGTGCAAGTTCAAACCCAGTGTATGCAATTTAATGACTCAGCAAGTCCCTGTCTCAAAAAATAAAAAAGTTTGGGAATGGGCCTGGGATTGAGCTCAGTGGTTCCGCCACCTGCCTCGCAAGTGCAAGGTCTCAAATTCGATCCCTGGTACCAAAAAAAAAAAAAAAAGGCCTGGGATTATAGCTCAGTGTGAAGGCCCTAGGTTCAGTCCCAAGTACTGCAAAAAACCATTCAGATAAACAAAAACTTGCTTTTTATGATGCTGTCCTGCCCTTCCCTAAACGGTAAGCCCTCTGAAGGTAGAAATCGGATCATCTCCTTTTGTCCCACAGCATTGCTTAGACAGCTGCAAGTAAAACACACTTAAGATCAGAAGCAGGTTGTGCTGGAGCCAAAGGCCATCAACTAGAATGGCATTGAAGGGCTGAGTCGAGCTGGGGAGTGAAGCAGCCCTGGTTAGGAAGGCGAAATTTGTTCTTCCTGAAGCTGCCCTGATAACTCCATTGTCCACTGTCACCCCACTCTGTGTCCTCAGGAATCTGGAGATGATGAGTACCAAGGAGACCAGTCAGACACCGAGGATGAGGTCGACTCGGACTTCGACATCGATGAAGGGGATGAGCCCTCCAGTGACGGAGAAGCAGAAGAGCCCAGGAGGAAACGGCGCATAGTCACCAAAGCCTATAAGGTGCAGAAGGGTTCCTAGTTTTCCTGTGTTTCCTTCTCCCTCTTCTCCCTTCATTACATTCCAGTGTTCTCCACACTAGTCCTACTCTTACACGGTTAGTTTTCTCCATAGAGATCCTCATCTACCTCCTTATCTCTGTGTACTCTGGTGTCTGACTCTGGTCTGCCCCCAGGAGCCTCTTAAAAGTTTGAGGCCTCGAAAGGTCAGCACACCCGCAGGAAGCACTCAGAAGGCCCGAGAGGAGAAGGCTCTGCTGCCACTAGAACTCCAGGATGATGGCTCTGACAGTGAGTGGGGAAGTTTGGTCAAACGAAACACCGCAGTGTGGTGATGCTTCACTTTATCAGTGTTAAGGTCCTCAGTTTGATACTGTTTTTATATAAGGGAAAGCCTTGCTCACAGAAGTACTTAGGATCATAGACTAGAACGTGCAACTTAAGGTCATTCAGAAAAAACAGTACAATGAAGCAGGGAATGGTGGTGCATGCCTGTCTTCCCAACACTCGGACGCTGAGGCAGGAGGATCACTGAGAGTTCAAGGTCAGCCTGAAATGCATAATGAGACATGAGACCCCATTTCAAAAAAACAGTAGGTCCAGGGGTTTAGCTCAGTGGTTCCAGTGCCTGCCTCATGAGAGCAAGGACCTGAGTTCAATCCCCGGTACCAAAAAACAACAACAAAGTGCATTCAGAAGCTTACTGTTTGGGCCAGGGATTTAGCTGAGTGGTTCCACTGCCTGCTTTGCAAGTGCGAAGTCCCAAGTTCGATCCCCAGTACCATAAATAAATAAATAAATAAATAAATGAATGAATGAATGAATGAATGAATGCATGCCAGCAAATACATAACAGATCCAAATAGAACATGTTAATAGCAGTGATGCAGCTTTTTTATAAGTTTGAAATTATTTCCAAATAAAAATTTTTTAAGTAGAGAAAATTTAAAAAATGGACATGAATTCAAATATCTTTACATCTGACTCTTCCCAGGTCGGAAGTCCATGCGTCAGTCTACAGCTGAACACACACGACAAACCTTCCTTCGGGTACAGGAGAGGCAGGGCCAGTCCCGGAGGCGGAAGGGGCCCCACTGTGAGCGACCCCTGACCCAAGAAGAGCTGCTCAGAGAGGCCAAGATCACAGAAGAGCTCAATTTACGTTCACTGGGTCAGTGTGCATTTTTGGAATATATGGGTAGAGACACTGAGGTGCATGAGAAAACTAAAACCTGGAAGACCAGAGAGCTGGAGATTTGGGACAAAAGAATCCAAAGAAGGAAATGAGGAGAGTGATTGATTATAAGCAAGCAACTAGGCTGAATAATAAGTTATGTTGAAGTATTTTTCTATAAATTAAGAATGACATACCAGCAGTTGGGAGGCTGAGGCAGGAGGATTTCTATGAGGTCAAGACCAGCCTGGGCTATATAGTGAATTCCAGATCAGCCTCAACTATATAGTAAGACTCCGTCTCAAACGCCCCCCCCCCCAAAAAAAAAGAGTGACATAGAAGCCAGGTGTGGCAGTGCATACCTGTAATCCCCGTACTTCAGGAAGCAGAGGCAGGAGGATCACAAGTTCACAGTCTGGGCAACTTAGCAAGACCCTGCCTCAAGATGCAAAAGGGAAGGAATGGACATGTAGCCAGTTCAAAGGCCCTGAGTTCAATCCCTAGCACCATAAAAAATAAAAATGAATTTTAATACCAGGCATGGTGGCACACTCCTATAATCCCAACCCTCTGGGAGGCTGAGGCAGAGGACTCCAAGTTCAAATTCAAGGCAGGCTGGGGCAATTTAACAAGACCCTATCTCAAAGTAAAGATTTTTTTAAAAAGACTAGAGGCTGGCCTGGTGGCATGCATCTGTGCTCTCAGCACTCTGGGAACCTGAGCCAGGAGGGTCACAAGTTCAAGCCCAGCCAGAGAAACTCAGTGACAGCACTGTTATGAAAATGTGTTTTCTTTTCTTTTCTTTTTTTTTTTTCCTTTTTTTTGAGATAGGTTCTCACTGTGTAATTGAGACTGACCTGGAACTCACTATGTAGCCCAGGCTGGTCTCCAACTCAACAGCAATCCTCCTGTCTCAGCCTCCCGAGTGCTGGGATTAAAGGCATGCGCCACCACACCCGGGGTCCCTAGCCCTGTTTTCTTTTTTCAAAAAAATGTTTAAAACTTTTAGCTCAGCAGCGCAGCACCTGCCTGGCAAGCACAAGGCCCTGAGTTCAATTCCCAGTATCCTCCCCAAAATCTATTGAATGCCTATGATGTGTGGAATTCTGCCTGCCACCTTGATTATGTGTAGCTAGTATGAGTCACAATCACTGCCCTTAATTAGGAGACACATGAACACAGTGAATTGCTGTGGTGCAGTGTCACAGGGTCCAGAGGCAGCAGAGTGCACCTGACCACAGGGACTAAGGTGAATTGAAGAATTGCCAGGAGGGAAAGTTACTTCACTCAGCTGATTGTTGCCCTGTGAAAATACAGACTCAAGGTTGTTATAGAGTTTTTTTTGTGTGTTTTTTTTTTAAAGAGATGTAATTTCCTTTTTATTTATTTAAGTTTTTGGCCACACTAGGGATCAAACCCAGAGCCTTGTGCACCCAAAGCAAGCCTTCTCCCACTGAGCTGTACCCTCAGCCTGTCTGAGCTCCTAATTTGGAGAGAGGGTACTGGGAACTAAACTCAGGACCTTCATACTGAGCTATAGTCTCAGCCTATTTTTACTTTTTATTTTGGCACAGAGTCTTGCTAAATTCTCAAACTGGGCTTGAACTTGCAATACTCCTGCCTCAGCCTCCCAGAGTACTGGGATTATAGACATATGCTACTGCACCTGGCTCTTAATTTTCTAATTTTTAAATGAATGCCAGCAACCAGTTCCTGTTTTTCTTTAAAACACTATATACATTGGGTGTGGTGGCATATGCCTGTAATTCTAGCACTCTGGGAGGTTGAGACAAGGTCACAAATTGAATCCCAGCCTGGCCAATTTAGGAGGATCCTATCACAAAATATAAAATAAGAGAAGAAGGACTAGGGTTGTAGCTCATTGTGAAGTCCCCAGCAGTGTGCACACATGCACACATAGACGCGTGTGCAAGGTAAAAGTGTCATCAGGCCGGGCGTGGTGGCGCACGCCTGTAATCCCAGCACTTGGGAGGCTGAGGCAGGAGGATCGCTGTGCGTTCGACACCAGCCTGTGCTACGTAGTGAGTTCCAGGTCAGTCTCAACTACATAGTGAGACCCTGTCTCAAAAAACCAAAAAACAAAAGAAGTGACATCAGGAGTTGTCCTGGCTCGAAGAACTCTGTAAAGGTGAAGGGCATGGTCTTGGCTAGGGTGGAAGGGTGATTATAGAGGAGATTCCGCTACCCAGAAAGTGAACGGGCTCCTCCTCATGGTCCTTCCAACGTGAGGTCCTCCAGTTCTGAGTGGGGGAGCACCTACATGACCCTGGAAAGGGCCAGAGGGTACCAGGAGTGGGACGCAGGAACCTGGGGAGGTCAGAGGTGCTGCAGTGCCTTGGGGACTCGCAGTTGGCGTGAGTCCTTGGAGGGGACTCAGTGCCCAGGAAGGTGACTGAGAGGTCCTGGGGCAGAACTGGAACGTGGGAAAGGGAAAACATGACCATCCACTCCTTCCTCCCTTCGACCCTGCAGAGACCTATGAGCGGCTTGAGGCTGACAAAAAGAAACAAGTTCATAAGAAACGCAAGTGCCCTGGGCCCATAATCACCTACCATTCGGTGACCGTGCCGCTTGTTGGGGAGCCGGGCCCCAAGGAGGAGAACGTGGATGTAGAAGGGTGAGTGAACAGCTGTGTCCTGCGCCACCTCCCTCCCTCAGCTCACCCTGCTCTCCCTGGCTCTTGCACGCCTTTCCCCGTTCCATCCTCCCGTCGGCTCCTTTCTCTTAGCCGCCCTTTTCCCTCTTGTTTTTCTTTCTAGTCTCATTTTTTTCCCTCTCTCTCCACCACCATTTAGTAGGTTCTTTCAGAATATCCCCTCCACTCTGGCTTCTTTTTCCTCTCTCCTGCTCCCTGATTTCTTTATGCGGTATCTGTTGTCTTCTCCTCAGCTCTCTGTCTCTCTCTTTGGCCCTCAGACTTGATCCGACCCCTCCAGCTTCTGCCTTGACTTCCCGTGCTGCAGCCGGACCCGTCATCTCTCCTGCTCGTTGCTCCCGGACCTTCATCACATTTAGTGATGATGCAACGTTTGAGGAGTGGTTCCCCCAAGGGCGACCCCCAAAGATCCCTGTGCGCGAGGTCTGCCCGGTGACCCATCGTCCGGCCCTGTACCGGGACCCTGTCACAGACATACCCTACGCCACCGCTCGGGCCTTCAAGATCATCCGTGAGGCCTACAAGAAGTACATCACTGCCCACGGACTGCCGCCCACGGCCTCGTCCTTGGGCCCTGGGCCCCCCCCTCCTGAGCCCCTCCCCGGCTCCGGGCCCCGAGCCTTGCGCCAGAAAATCGTCATCAAGTGAAGAGGTGTCCAGTGCTTAGAGGCCGCTTTCCTGCCCCGGCTCGGGGCTCTTGACGTTCCCTCTTCTCTCCGGGTTTCTCTCCTGTGTTATTTCTGATCTTTTTCCAGTCCTCTTCTGCATTTTCTTTTCCCATCTTTTCTCCTGGTTCCTACTGGTTTTTTAATTTTTTTAAATCTAATAAAAAAGGGAATGTCTTTTTTGTGTGGTGTTAATGTAGGGTTGGGAACAGGAAGTGTTTGTGAATATCTCAATATATTTGGGCCTCCTTATTTGCTTGATGGCACTTATGAGGTCTCTTGTTTTATCTGATACGGAGTCTTGCTGTATTACTGTGGCTGGTCTCAGGCTCCTGGGCTCAGGCAGTCCTGTCTCAGCCTACCAGTTTACAGGGACCACAGGTGCATGCGTCCCTGCCTTGTCCTCTTAATTGTGAAGAATTCATTCCTCCCATTAAATTATAAACACCTTAAACTCAGCTACCTTTCTATCACCTTATATTCACTGTTTGACTAGCGCAAGCAGCAGATAAATAGGAACTGCGTAGCTAATTTTTTTTTCTGGTACCAGGAATCGAACTCAGGACTTCGCGCGTGCCAGGCAGGCATGGCACCACTGAACTACATCTCCGGCCCCATAGCTGATTGTTATGGGACTCAACTCTAGGAATGGCACTGTGGGAAAAGAGGATAAGGTGCCATGGCTGTCAACGGCCACTAGAGGCTCTCGGCTGGGCAGGGTATGGGGGCTGTGTATATGTGATCTCCCACTACCCCCACCTGGCCAGAGCTAAAATAATAAAATGCTGAGCTCACTGTTCCCCCACCCGCTCCCGGTGCCCTGGGCTCCTGCTGCTGCACAGGGCCCCAGTGGGTCGGACAGACTGACCGACAAGGGAGGTGGCCATCGGGACTGGTAGGTGGGAAGGCAGGGGGCTTACGGGGAGAGCCTGGTGGGAGATGGGACAAGAGTGGCTTCTGTGGGGAAGGACGGGGAGTGTGTCCCTGCCTGTCACTCTGTATTTCTGCCACTGCCCTGTCCCTTAGCTGTGTCAAAGGCCACATACTTTCTAGATCTCTTATGTAAAGCATGGTGTGTACCTGTGGCTTTTATTTTGTCATATAAAAGATTGTGCAAGTTTAATTTTTCCTGCTGGTTTTAAAGAAACAATTCCATTTAGAAGGCATTTTCCACCCATTGGCCTAGAGTCACCTTCCTGGCGACAGAGTGTGGGACTGGGTCCCTTTTCCTGAAGCCATATTCCCCTCCCCTGACCTGGAAGTCCCCTGGTCTCTCTGCTCCCTTGCTTCCCCTTAGGACTTAGAATTTCATTAAACAGGGAAATCTTGACCCTTCCACAGTAAAAGAGGAAATAAGGGTGGGGTAAGCGACTCCTGCCCACTGCCACCAATCTTACTTGCTTATTTAACCAGTTTAGAAGAAAAAGGGTGACTAACGGGGAAAAGAAGAGGCATTTCTCTGTGCCTCTGTCCCACCCCCTCCCACCTTTCAGTAGGAACTGGGCGTGGAGCCAGCTGTGTTGGAAGAACTTCCCGCCGCTGTGCTAGGGCAAGAGGCACTGACGGGGGAGGTTATAGGGGAGGGTGGTGCCAGGACCCTCCATCATATAGTGAGATGATGACCCACTCTGGACCCTGGGGTCCCCATCCAAGGCGACTTGGAGCTGGGGAAACAGGAAGCAGGGAAACTCAGTTCTAACTCTAAACAACCGGACCTCCCGTCTTCCCATCCTCAACTGGATTTCTAACCTCCAGGGTATCTCTTTACTGTTCTACCCCTGGCCGGTTCTTTGTGTTCCTGCTGTACCCATGTCCATCTTTCCATGTCCAGCTGCTTTGCCCGTGTCCTCCCAGGCTCTGTGTGTCACCTAGTGGGGAGGGGACAGGGGCCGCCATGTCATCGTATCAGAAGGAGCTGGAGAAATACAGAGATATAGACGAAGATGAGATCCTAAAGACCTTGAGTCCCGAGGAGCTAGAGCAGCTGGACTGCGAGCTCCAGGAGATGGACCCAGAGGTAGGAGGCCCAGCTCGGGCAGTCGGGGACTGACCCAGGCTGTAGGGAAGGCTGCTGGGGGCAGGGTGGCTGAGACCAGGACTCCCTACCTGCAGGGCTGGGAGTCCCAAGAGAGTCAGGGAAGAGCTATCTGGACGTGTTTTAGGGAGCCGCAGAGGTGGCCCGAGGGGTACCTGACCTGCTCCCCCAAACTCGTCCCTAAGAACATGCTCCTGCCAGCTGGACTGAGACAGCGTGACCAGACAAAGAAGAGCCCGACGGGGCCGCTGGACCGAGAGGCCCTTCTGCAGTACCTGGAGCAGCAGGCACTGGAAGTCAAAGAGCGTGATGACCTGGTGCCCTTCACAGGCGAGAAGAAGGGTACGGGCGCCCTGACACCCAGCCTCCCGGAAACCGGACGCTGTCCCTCGCGAGTCTCCCCAGCTTCTTTCCCTCTCTTCTCCCAGCTCCTCCCTGCCAAGGGTCACAGGTGCCCTGAAACTTGCACTCCAGCTCACACTCTTCGGTTCTCGCGTGAGGTCAGGGGACCCAGGAGTCCTGAGCTGGCAAAGAATTCAGGCTTTCTGGTGTCCCCTAGTGACCCAGCATTACACCTCTCGGAGAAGGATGAGACGCCGGAAGCCAGGATCTGGGGAGAAATGACCTCTACCTGAACCATCCTTCATCTTCCCATCAGGGAAACCCTACATTCAGCCCAAGAGAGAAATCCCCGCAGAGGAACAGATCACGCTGGAGCCAGAGCTGGAGGAGGCGCTGGCCAATGCCACAGATGCGGAGATGTGTGATATTGCAGGTAGGCAGCGGGGAAGCTGAGGAAGGTGAGAGGCTCGGAAGTGGCACCCTGGCCTTGATGGGGGATGCTGAGGGAGGCCTGGAACCGGGATGTGGGTGTCCGAGAAGGCCTCCAGCAGTAGTTTTTCACTTGTTTGTTTGCATGTATATTTATTCATCCTCAACTTTAACAAGTTAACATATTAAGAGCATTTTTACAAGCTGGGCATGGGGGCGCACGCCTGTAATCCCAGCACTTGGGAGGCTGAGGTAGGAGGATCGCCGTGAGTTTGAGGCCAGGCTGGGCTATAAAGTGAGTTCAAGGCCTCACTACTACATAGTAGTACAGCACCCCTCCCCTATAACCTCCCCCATCAGTTCTGTCATTAGGAAAAAAAAAATGCATTTTTACAAAGATTGTAAAAGCAAATCAAAGCACGGTGTTCTGGCTCATATCAGGAGGGGGAGCCCTTCCCACACACACACACCCCCTAGTGGCTCCTTGGGGATCATCCCTAAGCCCCATCTCAATGGTACAGAAACCCCCAAGGGGCAGGGCCGCCTGGGGCTGAGGGAAAGTGGGAAACCTCTCCCGAGTAGCGGAAGGGATTGGCTGCCGCAGAGGGAGGCAGGATGGGGCCTAACGGACCCCCGCTCCTCCCCCGCACCCCTCTGCTCTGGCGGCAGCCATTCTGGGAATGTACACCCTGATGAGCAACAAGCAGTACTACGACGCCATCTGCAGCGGGGAGATCTGCAACACTGAAGGCATCAGCAGTGAGTGTGCAGGGGGCGGGGGTGCGCCCCAGGGCAGAGAGCTGAGGGGAGGAGGTCGGGGACACGTTGGGGTTCCTTCCTGCCCTCGCCCATCAGGTGTGGTTCAGCCTGACAAGTATAAGCCAGTGCCAGATGAGCCCCCAAACCCCACAAACATCGAGGAGATGTTACAGAGGGTTCGAAGCAACGACAAGGACCTGGAGGAGGTGAACCTCAATAACATACAGGTATCTGAGTCCCATCTTCCTCACGGCGACCCTGGGGTGACTCTGCTGACAGCGCAGAGGCCTCAGCCCAGCATTGCCGTGCCTGCCCGGTAGGACATCCCGATCCCCGTGCTGAGCGAGCTGTGCGAGGCCATGAAGGCAAACACTTATGTCCGGAGCTTCAGTCTGGTGGCCACGAAGAGCGGTGACCCCATCGCCCAAGTAAGGCTCGTCAGCCCCCAGCCCTCGCCCTCCGCCTTCACTTGTGCTCCCGGCAGTTGTCATAAAGGGCGGTGCAGGGCCGCTCTCCCCACCACGCTTTCTTGGGAAGCAGCCTCAGTCCTAGGGCACGACTCTGAGGTCATCTTCCAAAGGGCCACCTCCCTGACAGCCTCAGCTCCGCTGTTGCTTAGGATCTGTTTTCACCTGCTTCCCATGCTGCCTCCCTGCAGCCCCTGGAGACTCCTCTCGAAGAGCTGTTTCCCTCTCACTCCCGTGCTTCTCCTCAGTCATCTGAGAAACCGCCCCCAACCCTAACCCGAGTCCCTACTACCCAGGCGGTGGCTAACATGTTGCGTGAGAACCGTAGCCTCCAGACCCTGAATATTGAGTCCAACTTCATTAGCAGCACAGGGCTCATGGCCGTGCTGAAGGCAGTTCGGGAAAATGCCACACTCACCGAGCTGCGTGTCGACAACCAGGTGAGTGTCCCTCCCCTGCTCCTAGCCCTCGGCTGACCCACAGAGCCCCTCCTGGAGCCACCCCTGGGGCAGCCGTCTCTTCAACCCTGCTTGACTTTATTGTCTCTGCGAGGGAAGCCTCTCTTTCCCCACTGCCCAGAAAATAAGCCTCCTGACTTCCCAGGGCTCTGTGGTCCGGGGTGAACCACCCAGACATGGTGACAGCCCACTTCTCCCTCCGACAGCGCCAGTGGCCTGGGGATGCCGTGGAGATGGAAATGGCCACCGTGCTAGAGCAGTGTCCCTCTATTGTCCGCTTTGGTTACCACTTTACACAGCAGGGGCCACGGGCTCGGGCAGCACAGGCCATGACCAGGAACAACGAACTCCGTGAGTGACTACGGGCACGGTGTTGGCAGGGGCTGGGGGTAGAGGACGAGGGGGAAGCCGGGAGCTCCTTCCAAAAGCAAGCTTAGCGACAAAAAGCTTGGGTGGCTGCCGAATGCCGTGAGGGATCCAAGTGCATAGGGAAGTCTTCCCATCCCCAGTATAGTCCATCAGAGGCAGGAGGGAACCTACACTAACTTTTAATGTAGTACTGGAGACGTAATGTATAATACTGTAGTCCTGAGGCCCTGTAATGTAAACCCAGGGCTTCGTGCATGCTAGGATCCTAACCACTGAGGGTTGAACCCCAACCCTGTCCTAATTTCGAGCCAGGGCTTCCCTCAGTTGCCCAAGCTGACCTTAAACTTTTGATCCTGCCTCCTGATGAGCCGATTTTTGTTCTATTTTGCTGTTTGGTACCAGGGATTGAACTCAGGGGAGGCACTTGTGAAGCAGGCAGTGGAACCACTGAGCTAAATCCCCGGCCCTGTTTTAGTTTTTTGAAAGGGGGACTCCTGTGTACCCCAAGCTGGCCTTGAACTCACAATCCTCCTTCAGCCTTCAGAGTGCTAGGGTTACAGATGTGCCAGGTGTGCACCACAGTGCCCAGCTAGATATGATATTCAGACCTGAGGATTGTACCCAGGACCTCCATACTGAACTTCCTCAGCTCTTTTTGACACAGGGTCTAAGTCACTGCATTGCCTAGGCTGGTCTCGAACGTGTGATACTCCTGCCTCAGCCTCCCAGAGTGCTGGGACTATTGTGGTGCACCATTGCATCTAACTAGACGTATTTTTATTTTTGGTGTGGTTTCTTGTTTTGTTCTGCTAGTGTGGAGCGGCCTGTCAGGTGGCCTCAAACACTCACACTGTAAGAATCTGGCTCAGGAAATGGAGAGAAGAGTACCTTTGCCAAAAGCAAGAGATGGAACAGAGGATTACATTTACTTTTCCGTCTTTACAGGTCGCCAGCAAAAGAAGAGATAACATTGCCTTGCCCTTTACCAGTGAGAGCTGGGAGCCCCGGACACGTAAATTCTCATCCCATCTTCTTCCCTGTAAATAAAGTCCCTTTTGTCCACTGTGCCTGCCTCCTTCCTTGGGCTTTCGGGTGGGGCTCTTGGCGCTAATCCCCAAGAGTTACTGCCAGTTCATCGGGATTATTTATACTCTGGGGATCAGCAGGCAGGGCGCTTCAGGTTTCTTGGAGGTGGGGGAGCTCCCTGGCCCGGTGTTCCCCATAAACCTGCAATGAATGCCTTTAGTCTTTCTACTTCCACAGGCTTCCTGGCTGCAGTCCTGTTTCCAGCTACGGCCAGAGCCCCCCATGGCTTGCTCACAGCCCTCGTTTGATCTGGAGGGAAGAACTGTGAATGGAGATGGGAAGGGGGCAGACAATGTGAAGGGCAAAGACCTTTTTCTGACAGACTTATTAATAGGGCGCCGGACTGCGTGCAGCTGACGCTTGGCATGACTTGGTGGCCGGTGGGGGAGGGGCAGAAACATGGGGCGCGCTGTACATTGCAGGGAAGGAGTGGCCAGGCTGAAAATGGACAGATCTGAATTCTGATTGGACAAGGAACCTGACTTGAGCAAAGTTACGCTCCCAGCACCCACTGTGTGTGTGAAACAAGTGGAGAAAAATGTCAGTCCAAGGGGAGGTCAGGAGGTTCTTCCTCATCAGAGTCAAACTCAACATTTTCATCTTTTATCCATCGACCTTGTCCATCTGGGATCCATCCAGAGCTGGAAAGGAAGAAAGCAGAATTGGTTAGGAAAGAAGTTTATTAAAAAGTTACTGGAGGGCCAGGGATTTAGGTTAGTGGTGCTGCCGCCTACCTCACAAGTGCAAGGTCCTGAGTTCAATCCCTGGTACCAAAAAAAAAAAAAA